CTCGCTTGTTTCTAGTTTCTTTTGTCTGGCTAGCCAAGCTTGCTTGGTCATGGCAACACCAACAGACTTACAATAATAGTAATAATAATGGCTTCTATCATCACTCACGACATGCCTGCGTTTCTTGTTGCATCAATATAATGACTCGTGGTCCAAATAGGGACAACACAATATAATATGAATAGCCCTGAAACCCAACTTAGGGTGCTGGGTAGTGTGCGATGTACCATCAGATGTAGTATGCCCAGCACCAAAGAACAACTCAACTTATGCCAACATCACCCGGAAGAGACGTAAAGAGCGAAGTGTTTGATGTGTAATGATGGAGTTCCTCTGCTCACATGCATAAGCAGTGAGTGGTCTTCACGCATGTCCTGGGACCCACAAATACGAATCAGCATTATGGTCCTTCAGAGATACATGCAAGCAAAGAAATACAAGAAAGGTAACGGAAATCGTTGTGAAAGCCCAGCCACCGATTGTATGCACACACGTGGCAAGTGCAACAGCAAGTACCGTGGAAGGCACAGCAGAACAAGTTGAAAATGCAACTCTAGAAATACCAGAATAGCAGGCTCCATGAATATAATCACTTCTCAAATGCTTGAGACTTGGATTTACAAATGCTACGACAAAAATGACTATGTACATGGAAAGTTGGTTGCACCCCATACTAGAGGTCGAGCTTTCCTGCCGCCTTGACTGGACATTTGACTGACTCACGACTGCCATTTAGAAACTTGACAAACTCACGACTTCCATCCAGACACTTGACTGACTCACAACTGCCATCTAGAGCAGAGAAGAAGTCCCTCGAGCCCTCCTTCCGGCAAACCTGCAAGAAAGCACCACTCCCTGCTCAATACACAGTGTTTCGGGGAATTCACCCCTCATGCAGTTGAGCTTGAGTAGGCTGACGAACATTGTGCTTAGCGACCAACATTCCTATAAACTTGTCGCCGAAGTCGCTACCACTGTAATTGTACATGCATATCATTATTTAGTGGCAGATTTAATCTTGCGACACTCCGGGCAGGTCCAGTTCTTGCGCTTTGGCTTACTCTTCAGCTGCAAACAAGCCATGTGGAACAAACGAATACTGCAATCGTTGTTGGAACATCGCAGTACCTCGCCAGCCTTCACAGACTTGCAGTAGCAAAACTCCGGAGGGCGTTCTTGATCCGCAGTAGATGTTGTACTGGCAGCACCAAGTGGTTCCGAGGCTGATGTAGCCGCTGAAGACGCATCGGCAGGAAGAGTGGAGAACGTCTTAGTGAACCATTTCCCAACAAGCTCTGGGAGAACAGCACACTGGAAGAATTTCTTGGCACCTGCTACCGCTTCACGGATGAAATCTGTGTCTGCACAGATACGCTCCACAAACAGCTGACCTTCATTCCACACAACAAAGTCACAGTACTGCACCTTACACACCAGCATCTGTAGCTGTACTTGGTAGTAGTACATGTGGTCTTGCTTAAGATGGAGTGCTCCGCCGGACTTTACTAGACAGAACTTCCCTGAATCGGCAGCATCATGCAGGCTACTGTCTCGGCACCCGTACGGGCACTTCACTTCCACCACGCCGTTGCCACAGCAGGAGCACTGCACAAGGGAGTCGGGAGTAGCGCCAAGATATGGATAGTCCGGATGAATTACAAAGCCACTGGGCAGTACTTCAACCTTCTGATGTGTTGCACTGGCATGTTCACTATAGTTGTCAATTGCCTTCTGCTCGTGATCACATCCCCATTGTGTGGCTTTGCTACGAAACTTGTGTGCCTCAGGGTAACACACAGAGCGGACTAAGGACGCAGAGGGCTGGCTAATATCCGTGCGAACAGCAGACTTCAACTTTGAAGCTGTGATCCGGCCGGCGCGAAATTCAAACCAGGCCTTGGAATCTGCCTGGTTCCGCGTAGCCTGTTCCACAGCGCGTGCTTCCTCCTCTGAAACACAGACCGCTGGAAATACTGCCTCGCAACGAACGAGCAGGTCCCCAAAACTAGCATCCAGCATGTCTGGTTCGTACAATAAATCCAAAATGGGTGGATATCCCTCGGGCTTGGAAGGTACGTACCTATCGCAGAACCCGGGAACAAGGGAGAGTAATGACGGTTTACCGGCTTGACATAAATTTCCATATAGTTCACCCAGCTCAGCACTGGAGGGTTGCTTAATATCAGCAGGGACCTTCTCCTCCGACCTACGGCGCTTGCTCCCATGCTGTTTAGTGTCGGGTGCAGTGAAGTTTATGTCACGAATCCTGGCATACTCCACCTCCTTCATTGAAGGAGTTGACCATTGGCACGGCAATGAAGTGCTTCCTGTGTTCTGAATCAGCTGCGTTCTAGAATACAGGCTGAACAACAGTGCAGCAACGTGAGAACAAGACTCACCAAGACCAGCCATGCAGGTGCAGTGTGCACAAATCACGCTACCGTCGTTTTGCGCAGCAATCCAGGGTTGCAGATGGGTGCCGGAAACTGACTGGGAATGGCGGACTTTGGCGATGACAAACTTGCTGTCACATGTGTCAGATTCAGACGCTGGAAACGCACGAACATCGCCGACCCAGCCACTGACAAGGTATTTGTAGCCTTCCAAGCTCTTGTAGGCCTTGAGCTGCTCCTTGGTGTAGGGGCTGGGCGCGTTGACCAAGAAATTGTAAATATCGGGATAGTCCACAAGTGGAAATTTATCTTCCCCTAAAAAAATACTTCTGGGCAGGTAAGGATCACTCGAGTCTGGTGCAACGCGCTCGAGCTTTTCACGGTACCGGCATTTGCTGGAGTCATCTAACTCGTCATACACTTTTGAAAACTTGGGAGAAGTCATGGCCACTGATTCAGCGTTCGTACAATAGTCCTTTGTAAAGAACAGAAGAGGAACGTAACAGCGATACAGGAAATTTCCTTCGTGAAATTATTCCAGGCACATGTACTTCTTTTGAACTTTTCATCTCTTTTGCCACCCCTGCGGAGCGCGGCCGCTTTGGCCGCCTACACGCCGCCTGCACGTGATCCTTTCGCATAACCTCTATTCAGTGAATAAGTCTGGGAACACATAATTCCCAGAATGAGATTCATTGTTTTGAGTAAATGCATTTATCGCAGCATAACAAACACACACACGTACATGCATGCACACATATACACACACATACACATTCCCGTAAACCCAATCAAGCCTGTCCCCCTGGAAAATCGCGGTGAAAAACTCAAGAAATTGCGGGCGAAAAGAGTGAAAAATGTGGGCCAGATATAGTAACTTTGCGGAAACTGCAGTATCTTGCAACCATAGTTATGGACCACAAAAACGTGAACGGAGTATCTAACAAGAAATTTCGATGCACCAAGTACACGTAGCTAAGCGCACAGAATACACCATGCATGAAAGTCTGTACAGGGTGGGCCATGGCATGGGCTCACGGATTCACTGAAAATTGAGGCGAAATGAAGAAAATTGCACGTTTTCCGCAGAAAATGCTGGATTCGCGGAATTTGTCGCGGCCGTGGAATCGCGATTTTCCAAGGGGACAGTCAAGCTGTCAAACAATATACAGTCAACTTCGCCTATAACGACACTCGGCGGGGCATCAGAAAGTGTCCTTATTCGCGAAGTGTCGTTATACCCGAAGTCTCATTATATGTATTACAGCTAGATGGGACTTTGCTCTGGGCATGAGAATTCTGTCGTTATATTCGCTGTCGTTATTAGCGAAGTTGACTGTACTACAGTCTGTTTCAAAAAGATTAGCAATCAGGTTTTGGTCTTAAAAAGTATGAAGATAAGGAAATTTGGACAATAAAGTACATAAAAAGGCTTGTTAGGGCACGGCAAATTATTCAGTGAAGGTTTCGGAACAATTGGACCAGCCGTTATGGAGTTAAAATTTCGACCAGGTTTCGCGCCTTTTCCCATGGTTTACAAATTGCCCTGGAAGCTAGTATCGATTTTTTATCAAAGCCCACGATTTATCTTTTCCTTTTCGGCCTTGTGGTTATGAATGCTGTCTGCTGACCATGAAGTTGTGAGTTCAAATCCCAACCTATCTTCCAGTTAAACTTTTTTTCATTTTGGTGATCAAACTGGTACAAGACAAAGCCTTGAAGGTGGCTGCACCAAACGACTTGTTGTTGGAGCTCGCGCTTCCTGCCGAACTGACTGGCACTTGACTGGCTCACGCCATGTGAACACACTTACAACACTGACACGGTGTGAGTGAATACGGAAGTCATCTCGCTGTAGCTTCGTGTACGTGTTGAATACACCGGCAAATCGATCGATTTCTTTTTGAGAATTATTTTAGTATTTCAAGATTGCCAATTTATTTGAATTTTAATAGCAGTCAACGCCGTCTTCTATCAGTTTTCACAGGCGCTAGGCATCTGCTTTTCTCAAAATGCTGTCGAAGTCACACGGATAGCTTTGCCAAGTCATGGCGTTGGGAATGAGTCTATGGTGATGTCGTTTTCGTCACATGGTGAGAGTAAATCATCGCAGCTCAAAGAAACGATTTGGTGACCCATGCCGCTCGTCAACATTTACCACACTTTCGACGTGTCCTTTCTGACTCCATATCGATACGAGGAAGAACCCGTTTGTTGTAAACCAGAGTATCGACGTGAATGAGTTGTCATTTTCATGCTTTCGCGCTGAATATTTCTTCGAGTTCACAGTGAGTTTTTCCAGTCAGCGCTCGAGCGCTCAAACGGTAAGACGGCAAACTCCCCGGGCGATCGCCAGGATTGCTAATCTTTTTTAAACAGACTGCGGCTAACACACCAGAAAATACTTTAGTTGAAAAGGCACAATACAGCTGTAGTTGGGAAAACTAACCAATTACAATGTAGATAGCTGACCAACATAGAGAGAATGTTATTGGACTGGCGGTGTCTGTGCACTAATCGTTATATCCTTTCTTCCGGCCCGCTTTCTCGCCGCGTTTGTGCCACTGTTGCTGATCGTGTTGTATCACGCTCATGTTCCTTTTGCAGCAACCCTCGGTGTTGAAGTGCATCCGCTCCAGTTCAGCACGAGCCGGGGTAATATTCGCTTCAACGTCTGGGACACCGCGGGTCAGGAGAAGTTTGGTGGCCTGCGGGATGGCTACTACATCCAAGCTCACTGTGCTATTATTATGTTCGACGTAACATCCAGAATCACCTACAAGAATGTGCCCAACTGGCATCGAGACCTGGTGCGAGTGTGCGAGAACATTCCCATCGTCCTCTGTGGTAACAAGGTTGACATCAAGGATCGCAAAGTCAAGGCCCGCAGTATTGTTTTCCACAGAAAGAAGAATCTTCAGGTACGTCTTGTAATGTAGTGGTACTGGTGTGTAGAAACTTTTTTAAGGTAGCTCATGCCGAGATACTTTTTTTCCCGAAAATTTGCCAGTTTGACACCTTTCGTGCAATGCTAGGGGTGCCCAGAATGAGAAAATCAATATAGGCCACCTAGAATTAATTCGTTGTTTCGGATCACTTCACTCATCCGTACCAGTGTCGGTCTGGTTTATTTTTTATTTAATTTTGGTAACGGCCATGTGCATACATGTACAATTGTGCATATCGAATAGCTTCTGTCCATCAAGCCAGTCGATCAAATCTGACTGTAGATGATCCAGCGCAGCCATTGTTCCATCAGATCCAGGTCCCCTCCAGGACCAGATCTTGGCCTCGCTGGCAAACGAGTCTGACGAGCAGCTCTCACCTTGAAAACTTCTGTCAATGAGCGACGCGGTGGCGGAGCTGATGCTGTTTCAGGACCGATTGAGGATCGTAGATAGAAGACAATGTCGTCACCAAGCGCTGCATCCTGTCATTTGGCTGCTTCTGAGGTCGATGTCTGGACTGCTATTATTAGTCTAGTCATGTATGTACATTTGCATGCACTATAAAAAAAATTGCAGTCGGGTGACCCGAAACAACGAATTAATTCTGGGCGGCCTTTGTTGTGTTCGCCTGAAGCCACGCAGGAGTCCATTGTGGGACAAGACAAAGACTCATTTATTTACAACGAGCATGCATAATTATAGATGAGAGAGGGACAATACGGCGACAAACACTATACACAACGGCCTTAGGGTATGTAATTGGACACTTTGGTGGGGTTATGGCCCCTCGAAGTAGCCCAAACAAGGCGTTCTCTAAGAAAGAGACAGGTTTGCGTTGATGCCAATAAAATGCTTCCAACCTTCATCTGTTGCTTCATGTAATCATGTCAGTAGTTCCCATTGTAAGAGAACATGTCAGTGAAGATTTATCAGCAAAAATACACTGGTTGGAATTGCAGTCTTCTGTGTGAGGAAACTAACATATTGTAATCCAGCATGCAGCTATAAGTAGAGGGCATACACGGAATACCCAATTGTGAGCCAATCGTGCGTAATTCTGACAATTGAGATCGCTACATTTGAAATAAAGTATCAGGAACGGCCATTGGGACGCACAGTAACAGAAGGATACCACAGGCACTAGTTGCATGCATGAACAGCAACAGAAGGGGCGGAAAACGGAAGTATCGTCTAAATACCAGACGCAATCAATTGCGTCAAATATTCAAATTATTGCAATTATTTCAGATTTGAAATATGTAGTTTTGCTGATCTACTCACGTCGAGCGAGGATTGGTGATTGAGAAAACAAGAAATAGTTACTAGGGGATGACCTCCGCCTGCCTTGGTGATTTTATGCCATCGCTGCCCTCCCTCTCGCTGCTACTTGGAGAGCGAATGCTGTGATGGCTTCAGCGATGAAAATTGGCAGTTTCGATTCAGATCCTGAGGAGATATCGCTGCTTCAGCTCTCTCCAGGTGTCTACCACGACTAGAGGATATCGGCATTATCTGGAGAAGGCTATATCTCTATTAGCAGCAGGGTGATGGACCGAAAACACGATCGAAATTGGCAAAATATATCGCAGAGCGCTGCATTTGCGAAGCGCACATTTCGACGCGATCGGTCTCCATACTTTCAAATAGCGACCTACCCATATCATACATCAAATTTTTCAGTGGTATCTCCGCTGTCCACTGCAAAAAAAACGCGGGTCAATCAGAGAAAGGCCGCCGCCGAACGGCGCGTCCAAGTGCGGCGCGCCGAACCGTAAATATTTTTACGGTTCGAGATGGGCGCAGTACATAAAGGGTTAAAGGGGAAGTATACCCTAAAATCAAATATTCACCAGTTGTAGTCTTCGGGGTGCTGAGAGAATGGTCTTGGTCCGAGGAAGCTGAGACGCTCCCTTCCTCCTTTTATTCCCAATCGAACTCGCGCGCTTCCACCGAAACTGGGTGACTGCGCCCTACTAGATGGGGATTTGTATGCAAAAAGTCACTAAAAGCGCCGTTTCGTTCTTATGCAAGTACGGATGACCGCGATTGGTCCATATGTTGTACAGGTGGAATCCTCATAATTCGAACACGGAAATGCTGGGGAAAAACTTGTAATTATCCGGACATTCTAATTATCCAAACATGTACCCACAACACATTCTGTATGTCAAAATGCTCACATTGACACGCAGCATTGCACTACGCACCTTAGACTCAGATTTAGTGGACACTGAACTGACTGCGCATTCAAACCAAACTGATTTGCAGAAAATCAAGTGAACTTCTAATTATGGTTTGTTTTCTTCGAATTATCAGCACAAATCCCACACATTTACTATGTATGTGGATTCCGTGGGACTCGAGTTGAACCTTTGAGTTGAACCTTGGTGTGAAAGTTGGGGCTGTTGAGGTATAGCAATAGTACATAACCAAGAGTGTGCAACTCGACGATCTCCCAGCCTATGGCGGAATTTTTTTATGACATCAGTCTTTGGCGGCGGTTTGGCTCACCGATGCCATCATGCGTAGCCAGAGATCAAAGTACAAAATGATTTGTACATTACAGCCACGGTAGTCGAAGCAGAACAACGGACGATAGATCGATGTGTCTTGAACTTGACGAACTCTCACTGTATCTACAAAACAAGCACGGGAAAGCATACCTACTTCATCATGCTTCTGCCAAAGAATGACACAATAATAAAATTCCACCGTGGGTGAACCCATCGCAGCTCAAGATAGGAGTTGCACACTCTTGGTTATGTACTCTTGGGTATAGCCATCAGGTCCCAATGTGCGTGGCGTGTGAAATGCCGACAAAGGATGCCCAAATGTCTGTAATGATCCCTAGCTAGAAGTATTCCAAGGCCCATGCATGTGCACGGTTCTCCCTCCCTCTCGCTTCCCATGAAGTAATCCACTTGTTGTTGGGCGTCCTTATCTCCATACTCTCTTGGCATTAAGAGTCTTGTTCTTTTGTTGTTGTCTGCCATGTCCAGTACTATGACATCAGCGCAAAGTCGAACTACAACTTTGAGAAGCCCTTCCTTTGGCTTGCGCGTAAGCTCGTTGGAGATCCCAATCTAGAGTTCGTTGCAATGCCTGCGTTGCAGCCTCCGGATGTGCAGATGGACCCAGAGATGGCCGCAAGATACGAACAAGACCTCCGGCAAGCAGAGCAGACTGCCCTTCCCGACGACGATGACGATTTGTAAAGCATTTTTTCAGTACATGGACCATAACAAGTTAATAAGCTCTTTTTTATTTGCGTTGTTTTCTTGTTGTTTTGTTACCTCTCCGCCCGCCGTATCTTGCCTTGCCAAGTCTAACCGGGCGACAACGACCACGCTCTGAATCCCTTCATTGCGGTCTGATCCAATACAAATCAGATCAGATTGTGGTCTGATCAGATAAGAAATCGCTACGCATTACTAACGGAGCTCTTTCGATACAGGGAACAGTACACATTTTGCACATGGATTTATTGCTTTTTGTGTGACGGCAGAAGTGTTTGTTCTTATCTGTCCTGCTTTTGTACATCTCACCACACCTACTGATTGGGACGCAGCAGCCCTTCAGTGTTTGCTTGACCTTGGAAGCAATCCCGTGTATAGTATACTGCGTGCATTGCGCAGAACGTTGGCGTTCGTACCGTGCCGAAGAGCTAACGATTGCACTCGTTTTGATTATTCGTTTGCTGCTCTTCAGTCACCACTTGTCAGATGGCGTGCATCTGAAAACAAGTGTGATGATATTTTTAAAACAAGAATTGTTTTGAACAAGCATACCTGTTGTACTGAGCTTCCTGGTGTGCGAGTGCCTGGTCATTGCTAGCCGTGGCACTGGCCATCTTCATGTGAACGCAAATGTCTGCTGCTGGATTTCGGGTGGCTGTGACCGTTGCTTTCAAATGCAGTGAACATTGAAGTGGAACGAACTGTGTACACTTCCTGGCGGCGGGTTAATACAGTGCTGGCAACTGAAATCCGACCCCCTTGCCGGCCCAACGCGCCGGCAAGGGGGTCGGATTTCAGTTGCCAGCACTGTAGTACGCTTGATCGTCTGCCATTCCAGAGGTTATGCGATAATGTCAAATCCGCCATATATAGGAGCCAGTTGGGGTGGCAAAGAGTGGTTGTCACCAAAGGGACTTCTCCTAGCCTGTCATCGCTCCGGCAGTGGACACGTGTTTGTGTGTGTATGTACCGGCAACTTTTGATGGCACCATTGGCATTGGAACTGAGATGGGTAAGTGGCCAAAGAAATCCGAACCATCAGCGAAAAGCAGTGTGAAGGCTCATGCAGCCCTCGGATGGGGTTTTGTCTTTTTGGACACTGCATGATGTAATCAAAATGGAAACGCGGCGCTTCGTTGAACTCGTGGGTCGGATTTCTTTGGCCATGGCTGTACCACAGTCATCCCGGGCAAATAGGCCTCTGCGGCCTTTGGACAATCCTTAAATAAAAATCAATCTATCAAAATGATCGAGCCACTCCTACTGCCAAGGATAAGCTTGACAGGCCGGATAACCAGCTCTGCTTTTATCACAAGACCTCAGTCCAAGAAATTTGCACCTGTTCATATTATAGTAGTAGAATTTATCAGGGAGCCGTGAAGTAGCAGGTTTTACCGTTGATTCCCTGGTTCATAATTGCAGGGTAATACCTGCCCGGCTGATCATGACATGACATAATTGGCTTCGACCGGTACGCGCGGTTTGGGCCATTATGCCATTCTGGGGTATCCCCCTGCATGCACTGGGCGCATGGGCCCAGTCTGGCATCATGCATCATGTCAGCATTAGGCCTTGCCCAAATTTGCTCGGGGCGCCTCGATATTTTGCTGGCAAATTTTGCCCAAGCACTTTCCATATTTTGCCTGGCATTGCCTTTCGTTTCCGATATTTTGCTCCATTTTGCTTCTGCTTTGTGGCAAAAATGGCTTCGAATGAACCGTCTACTTTGGTAAAAGTGGATGGTGACTCTGATGAGGAAAGCAAAACTGAAAATGGTGTCAGTATTACGGATTTTGTAGCATGATTTCAAATTGATGTACACCTGACAACCTGCACGAGCTATTTCAGCACGACGTTGGCCCAATGAAACCAAAAAAAAATAGAATAGAATTGCCAAAACACACCCGGATCCTCTGTAAATTCGATATTTTGCTCGGAATTTGCCAGCAATTTCTTTTCGTGAGAAATTTCGATATTTTGCTGGAAGAATTGCCGGCAAATGGGCTAGGCCTCCAGTCCATTGCGCGAGGCGTACCTACAAAAACCGTTATGCCAGCATCTATACCACATAAAATCTGTGATCACTTTGTGCATAAATTTTTCCAAATTGGGCGTCTGTTATCCAATCCTTTAGAAACTACATGTATATGAGAGTAATTGCGGAGCGATCCTGAGCAATATTCCGAAAACTATTCTCAAAAAGTTCCAGCCAAATTTGAAATATTTCAAAAACCCTACGCGTCTATAGTTTTGAAATGCACTGTATAGTCAGCATGGTAATACTAATACTCAGCTAAGGCCATCATTTTTTATGTTTCGCGTCGTCCGCACGCATACGTTTTGATTTTTTCCGGAAAAAAATAAAAATTAATAATCGAACATGCACAGTGAGCATGGTGAGTGTACGATCGTGCGAGTCATCAGTGCAGTGTGGCCTTACGTGGACTGGTTGCATACGGCGAAGCTGGGATTCAGAATTGGCCTGCGTTGGTAGATCGTTTGTTCTGCATCTGCGAGCAGAATTCTTTGAGCTTACACCAGACCGCATCGATCGCCTCAAGCTGAGAGGATGCGTCGTTTCGGAGCTCTTTGCACCGCTGCTGAAGGCTGAGTACAATAATCCAGCGAAGCATGGGCACCAACGGTTGCCTCCTCTGCAAAGTGAATACTCTAATTTCAGAAATTTTCGGTGCTCAATATTTTCGGTATGAAAGCAAAAGGCTTGGTTAGGTGAACAGAAATTTTCGGTACAGAGAAGCAGTTCCCTATTGGATTATGTGTGTTAGTGTTTGTTCGGTGTATTGAAATTTTAGGTATGAAACAGATGCACCGAAAGTACCGAAAATAAAAGTACACCGAAAATTTGTGAAATTACAGTATTTCCTCTTGCTGATAACCCAGATTTTGTGCTTCGATGTACGATTTTTCTTTCGAATGTACACCATGCACGAGCTATTGACAATAGTCAATAGGCTATGTGGTATGTACAGTTCTATTCATCTCTGATGATCCTTTTTTTATTATTTTGCAACTTTTTATTTCTTTCCACCTCTCGCATACGATTCTGGAAGTTGACCTGACGCGAAACATAGATATAAAAAATGATGGCCTAATAGGCCATTCACACGACGGGCAAACTTACTTTTATCGTACCGTTTCCTAGGATACGATAAACTTGGACACACGCGAGCAACAGGTCTTTTAGGCCATCATTTTTTATATCTATGTTTCGCGTCGTCCGCACGCATACGTTTTGATTTTTCCGGAAAAAAATAAAATAATCGAACATGCACAGTGAGCATGGTGAGTGTACGATCGTGCGAGTCATCAGTGTGGACTGGTTGCATACGGCGAAGCTGGGATTCAGAATTGGCCTGCGTTGGTAGATCGTTTGTTCTGCATCTGCGAGCAGAATTCTTTGAGCTTACACCAGACCGCATCGATCGCCTCAAGCTGAGAGGATGCGTCGTTTCGGAGCTCTTTGCACCGCTGCTGAAGGCTGAGTACAATAATCCAGCGAAGCATGGGCACCAACGGTTGCCTCCTCTGCAAAGTGAATACTCTAATTTCAGAAATTTTCGGTGCTCAATATTTTCGGTATGAAAGCAAAAGGCTTGGTTAGGTGAACAGAAATTTTCGGTACAGAGAAGCAGTTCCCTATTGGATTATGTGTGTTAGTGTTTGTTCGGTGTATTGAAATTTTAGGTATGAAACAGATGCACCGAAAGTACCGAAAATAAAAGTACACCGAAAATTTGTGAAATTACAGTATTTCCTCTTGCTGATAACCCAGATTTTGTGCTTCGATGTACGATTTTTCTTTCGAATGTACACCATGCACGAGCTATTGACAATAGTCAATAGGCTATGTGGTATGTACAGTTCTATTCATCTCTGATGATCCTTTTTTTATTATTTTGCAACTTTTTATTTCTTTCCACCTCTCGCATACGATTCTGGAAGTTGACCTGACGCGAAACATAGATATAAAAAATGATGGCCTTATCTTGGCCGAGGCCCTTTTGCTCGCGATTATCTTTGCACGCCAGGAAAAGTGTCGGTTGTTGAAAGTGCGTATGCGCGTACTGCAAATGCAGTGCTTGAACTGAGGAAAATTCAAAATTTAACATTTCCCGGTATTTTCGGGGGTCGACCCCGGTCACTATTATGGATACATGTACATTGACGGTTGCAAAGTAACACTGCCTGCAGACGAATGCACCGATTCCATGCTTGATGCACTCACTGATTCCGCCTTCCGCAGAGTACCCCCAGATGGCTCACCAGACGTTAACACAATGGCAACTAGCTTCTCTATTCTATGCAAAAGAGTTCTGAACGAAAAGTCGCCTGTGAAACAAATTACCATCAGTGCTAGGGCTAAGCCTAAACCACAGCCTTGGGTAAGCGATCAACTCCGACGGTTGTTAGAAAGGCGCAAGCACCTCCACGCGAAGGTTTTGAAACATCCCGGAAATGAATCTGTGAAACAACAGTACAGGGCAACAAGGAGGGAAGGCACACTGTTAAATAGAAAGCTGAGACGAGAGTATTACAACAGGGAGTTTCGAGATGTGAAGAATAAGCCAAGGCAACAGTGGGCGCTTCTAAACTCGCTCACAGGGCGCAACTTTGTCCGTGAACAACCAAAAGCTACGTTAGGCGATCTGAGTGCCACATTTGCGTCCATTGTCACTGATCCTAATCCTTGCCCACCCTTGAGCAACCTAATACCTGACATCTCGACAACAGCTGACGCAGACGCCCCATCTTTTAAAGAATTTCGTGCCGTTTCAGCTCTGGAGATAAGCGACCTGTTGAAGCATTTGAACTGTGCCAAGGCAGCTGGATCGGATGACATTCCTCCTCTGCTCCTACGCCTCTGTGAGCCTGCCGCTGCAGGTCCCATAGCGCAGATCATCAACGAGTCCTTGAGTACTGGAATGGTGCCAGATGTGTACAAATTGGCTACAGTGTGTCCTGTCCACAAGTCAGGGGACAAATCTGAAGCGTCGAATTATCGCCCCGTTTCACTTTTGCCGATTGTTTCTAAGATCCTCGAGAAGGTAGTACATCGGCAAATGATAAGGTTCCTTCAAGATCACGCTGAGCTTCGTATTCTCCCAGACGAGCAATTCGCCTACCGCAGAGGGCACTCCTGTGAGGATGCGTTAACTCTCGCAGTAAACCGCTGGATGATGAGTGTGGACAAGGGCGAGTATTGCGGGGTTGTACTCGTGGACATGAGCAAGGCCTTCGATCGGGTACGCCATGAACTACTACTTAACGAGCTTCAAGCTATTGGCATAAGCGGAGTAGCACTACAGTGGTTCTCCAGCTATCTCCAGGGTCGACGACAACAGGTGAAAATTGGAAATAACAGAGGAGACGAGACACATTGTACACGAGGCGTTCCGCAAGGGTCGGTGCTAGGGCCTCTGTTATTCTCTTTGTACGTGCGACATGTCCCTGGAGTACTTCGCCACGCAGAGTCCCAACAGTATGCTGACGATATCGCCTTTTATATACACTGTCAGTCTACTGGAGAACTTCAGCACAAGTTGACAAGTGAGTTGAACAGACTAAATACGTACCTTGGAAGCATTGGTCTCATCTTGAATGCCCAGAAAACGAAGTTCATGGTGCTTCGGAAGAAGGCTCTGCCTCTTCCGCCGGATCTTACCATTGCATGCGGTGGTGTCGATATTCGACCTTCTGCCACAGCGCGTTATCTTGGCCTCATTATTGACCAACACCTCACCTTTGAGGATCAAGTCAACCATGTATGTACATCTGTTTATAAGAAGATAGGAGCATTCCGCCGCTGCCGCCGTACAGTAGACCACACAACTAAGCGAATATTTTATTTATCCCTCATCCAATCCACTATTGAATACGCCAGCAACTCGTATGCTCACTGTCTTACACCATCTTTATACTCTCGCCTTGTTACTTTAAGTCATATCAGCATGAAACAGGTTTTTGGTCTCCCTCGCCGTACCCCGACTGTCTTTGTTTTGCGGCACGCTAAGTTATACTCCCTCGAATCTCGTCTCAACTTGAGGCTTTTTATTTTTGTTTTCCGCTGTATTCATCAGCTTACAAGTCCTCTTCTTTCCTCAATGTTCACCCTCCAGTCGGCTGCTACTTGCACCGAGAGGCGCACTAGAGGGCAATCATTCTCTTCACTTTCTTTGCCCGCTGCTACCACTAGATATGGCATGTTCTCCATTTCTTTCCTTGGCGCTGATAGGTGGAATTCTCTGCCTGTCTCGTGTCGTCAGGTTGAGCATCTATCCGTTTTTGTTTCGCTCTGTAAAGAGCACTTAGGGTTCCCTGTAACAAGACGGCAACGTCTGTAGGGCCTTCCCTATCAAAATAATAAATTCTACTACTACTACTATTCTACGTTAGTTTGCCCCAGGGAGTAGTACAATACTCCCTGGTTTGCCCAGCACCGTGTGAACTGGATCACCAATGACACCATGATCACGGTTTGCCCGTGTTATCTTGGTCACACGCGTGCAAATGTTTGCACGTCGTGTGAATGGAGTATAAGCATCATGACCAGTCCAGGCAAGAGTAACATACTCTTGGTCCGTTCAGGCAATTCGCGCAAGAGTACATAACCCCAACTTAGGCCCAAGAGTGTGCAACTGCCTGCACAACCTCTCTATAGACTCTAATGACTCTATCTATGATGTGCTGCGACGTCGCCGACGGCAGAACTTCACATCACGTGACATGGTTCAAAAGGTTATGCTGGCAAACATGTGCAAAGTGACCACAACTTAAGAGAGTTGTACCCAAAGCTGGGCTGCGTGGCGTGCACACCCTGTATCGATCATGCACAGAGTACAAAATTTTAATAATGTGTACGGGTTCATCACGTGATGTGAAGTTCTGCCGTCGCAGACCCCATACTAGGCCATAGCTGGAGTTGCACACTCTTGGGTTATGTACTCTTGGTCCAGGGCATAGGAGGAAGTCGTAGCTGGTAGACCAATACCCAAACCAGCAGGGAGTCGTGCGACTCCATGAAAGGCAAACCGCCATGCCGAAGGCAAGCAAGGTTGGAGTCAAGGTGTGACTCCGGAGTTTCTGGATCGTGTTGAAATGGGCGCATTGGTGGGTATGACGCACCCCCCCCCCCCCGCCCTCCCCCCCCCCCCCCCGGCCGGCCAGGCAACCGCCAGATAACCGGATCGCAGAAGCATTCTGTACGTACTCTGTACTCGGTGGATCATGCGCAGATTTGTAAACTCTCCGGCTTCATCCATATGCGTCACAATGATCCAACCGACTTTATCGCCTCATGCATGAAGGAGGTGCATTGTGACGTTGAGGTGGAGCCGAAGCTCCAACCTCTCACCGGTGAGGTCCTCCAGCGACGCACCGCCAACTAGTTACTTGTGACACCGATCCGGATGCCACGCTGACCTGAGAGTGAGGGGGTTCTGGATGGATAGCAGAAACGCATTCTTTGATACAAGGATTTTCTATCCCTATGCGTCAAGCTACCGCTCCAGATCCCTCTCCTCTCTGTACCGAAGCTTTGAAGGGGAGAAGAAGCGTGCGTATGGGGAGAGAATTCTCCACGTCGAGCATGGTTCCTTCACCCCTCCGGGCCACGAAGCTGCCATCATGGTAGGAGGCTGGCAAGTGCTTTAGCCGTGAAGAGGCATGCGCGTACAGCCAGATGGTGTGTTGGCTCAGATGCATGCTAAGCTTTTCGCTAGCCAGATCTGCTATTCGCTGTGTCCGTGGATCACGTTCAATTCGCCGCCGCACGGTCACTTTGACCATGCCCCTGTCGACCTGATCCGAGCAGAGGCACCTCTAGACAGTGTGGTGGTCAGCTAGACAGTGGTCATCATGTCTAGTTCAGGGAGCCCTACACATATGTGTAGGGCTCCCTGGTCTAGTTCTCAATCTCTCATTTTCAAATGGGTGCTCCTTTTTAGTTTAGTTTTTCTTCTTTTTAGTTTAGTTTTTCTTCTCTTCTTCTCTTTATTTTGCTTTGCCATGCGCGTACAATTATACAAGAGGCTTCTGGATTTGTCTAAAAAAAAAAATCAAACTGCCCACTGCATGCATGCACTGCACTCGTAGACCTACCATCGTACTGTAGCTCGCGAATATCAATCTCTACTCGGTTCGCGCCATATCCATGATATCTGCTTGCGCGCATGCATGCGACCTGATAAAGTCATAAAATCTCGACCCACCAGGAGGCGTACCAGAACTTCCGGAAGACTGCAATGAACCTGTCAACGTCTCTGTGACTTGCCACGGATTGCAGAGTCATCACATACGGTGGTCGAAGTAGAAAGGCTGGTTGTAGCCAAAGAAGTGAAAGTTGGTTTGCTGTTGTATGTTGGTTCGTTCTCACATTCCGAGGCGATGATGGACCCACGCTGAAACAACAATGGAGAACTTCATGACCAGCGGGACGTTTGTGCAAGGCCGCAAGGCCTTGTTCGCGGTCAAAAAGGCCATGCAAGGAAAAAGCGTCATCGACAGGAAGGCTGTTGACAAGACATGGAAGTTGATGGTAACAGTAGTGAAGCTATGTGGGAACGCTCGCCTGAACATCACCAACAGTCCGCCTTGCATTCTGGACATCCTGCCGGATACGTATGGCCACCTCCAGATGATTTTAGATAAGTGCAATGACAATTTCGATGCTCTCAACTCATGTCCGTACTTTCGAGTGCTCTTGGACAACATTGCGGCTAAATGTCGGCAAGTTATTCAACTGTTCAAGGTGGCAAAGGATTCGATCTATGACGAGACTTCGCTGGAGAGGCGTTCACTCACAAAGTTTGCACTGATATTTAGTCACATGTATTCGGAGCTCAAAGCATTGTATCCGAATGGTGCGTGCATTGGGAGAACGTTTCCTATCACGAAAACTGCTGCTGCTGAGTTCTGGCACAGTCATTTCGGCAATAGGTATTGTGTGCCATGGAGAGACTTCGTAACACACTTCGAGAGTGAACACACAATTCGGAGTAACATGGAAGTCATAGCCCTGAAGTCCACCATAGATCTGACATGCAATGACCATGTCACAGTATTTGAGTTTGACGTGTTCACGTTGCTCTTTCAGCCGTGGCAGTCAATTGTCAGAAACTGGAACATCCTGGCAGTGACCCATGCAGGCTATCAGGCCTTCTTGACGTATGACGAAGTCAAGGACAAACTGCTAAAGATTTCTACCAACAGAGTTGGCAGCTACTTGTTTCGGCTCAGCTGTACACGCCTCGGCCAATGGGCCATTGGACACATTACCCCGGAGGGTAACATCGTACAAACTATACCGCAGAACAAGTCACTCATCCAGGCCCTCGTTGACGGGCACAAGGAGGGCTTCTACATGCACCCGATGGGGCGCGAACAGAATCCGGACATCTCCGACACGTTAGAGGACCTTCCGACTGTGTCCATCCATGTGACACAGGAGCAGTACGAGCTCTACATGGAGATTGATTCCTCCTTTGAGCTGTGCAAGATCTGCACGGTCAACAAGAAGGACGTGCGTATAGAGCCCTGCTGTCACCTGGTCTGTGCCGACTGCCTCGAGCACTGGCTAGAATCCAACGGCAGCGGCTGCCCATTCTGCCGCATGGAGATCAAGAGCACGGAGTCAGTCGTCGTTCATCCGTTCCATGATCGCAACGAATGTTCGACGCCTGAGATGCCGGAGGCACCACCACCCAAGCCATCTGCAGATGATACTTCTATCCCGAGTAGCAGTGCATTTCCACAGTGCGAGCGGCCAATGGTAAGTCACTTGATCTTATCTGTAGTGCAACTACATTATAAACTACCCTGGACATAACACATCAAGAGTAGATAAACAAGAGTGTGCAACTCCGTATCTCCTCTGCACAATCTGGAAATACCCTGGCCCACGGCGGAATTTTTTGTTGACGTCACCTTTTTCAGAAGCATGCGCGTTTTGCCACAGAGCAGTGTGAGAGCACGTGCTGGGCACCAACCTTGTAACGTAAAGCCTGGCCAAGTGCGGGAGGCTAAACTTCCCAAAAGACTCGCATCGCACGCATCGTAGAAAGATTACGTCAACAAAAAATTCCCCCGTCGGCCAACCCATCCGGAAGTTGCACACTCTTGTTTATCTACTCTTCAAGTTCATATCATAGGATGTAATGATTGGATGAAAGGGTCTGTCCGGGGCTACCAATACGGCATGCTTCGGTATTTTCTACCCCCACCCTTTCTGCAGGTGAAGCACAACTGAGTAACAATGATTTCAACCTTCTGCATTTAGCAGTACCTGGACATTCTCCAGCGCAATAATTTTTAAAAATTATTCCCGTAGCTATACAGAAGACGTTACTTCAGTAACGTCTGGCGCTAGCCAGGGTCCACACAGCTTTAATTTGGTGTTTGTTTGTGTGTTTGTGTCACGCCTGGCGCTATCCCGTATCTGTCCCGTACCGTACCATCAAACACAGCTGGCCACATACAGCTGGCCGCACTATTCAAATAGGGCTTTCAAACGCAAGATCATAACGTGAAGCAACTTGGAAGAATGAGTATGAATGCGAAGTGTATGGGGGAATGCTTGTAGGGCGATAGTGCGGGTTCGAATCCCAGGTTATGCCTTAAAAAATAGGAGAATTGAAAAATTTATAACATCCCTATTCTTTTTTTGCCGTCATCAAGGCGGTAGATGGTGTCGTATTACCCTCGACCGTACCTGTCCCGTACCGTACAATCAAAGACGGCTGGCCACAATGCATATTCAAATAGGGCTTTCAAATACAAGATCATAACGTGAAGCAACTTGGAAGAATTAGTATGTATGCGAAGTGTATCGGGGATGCATGCAGGGTGATAGTGCGAGTTCGAGTCCCAGGTTATGTCTAAAAACAAAAAGTAGAAATTTATAAGAATTTATAACATCCCTATGCTTTTTTTGTCTAGGTCATCAAGGCAAAAAAGCATAGCGTAGGGCCCTGAGCTTCCAAGCTCTCTCGTTTTCAAAACGAAACTCAAACCTTACCCCAAAATAGAAAAACAGAACACTTGGTAACCTTGGACAGCCCTTATACTAGCGAATATGCAATTTAGAACAATTGAATGTATTTTGAACTAGCAGTACTTACTAGCAGTACTGCAAGAATATTCGAAAAGGAAATTTCAAATGTGAATTGTTAAATATCACGAGAGAGGTGCCAAGGCACGCTCGGATAGCGACGATGAAACTGATAACGCTGGTGTGAGTGTCATCCAACCTGAGTCAGCAGTATACTGGGCTGCAGTACAGTCGGGTGCCGAAGACCTGATAGTGCGTTTCAAAAGTATAGACCTCTAGACTTTTTCGAATAATTCAAATTTGATTTGAGCTTCTTGAGAAATTTCTTTGGAATATTGCTCAGGCAGCTCACGCACTTTTTCTCATGTAAATTTCTAAGCGATTGGATAACAGACGCCCAATTTCGAAATTTGTATGCACAAAGTGATCACAGATTTTATATGGTATAGATGCTGGCCTACCGGTATTTTGAAACCAGAGGTCTGGACTTTTGAAACGCACTATAGTGCCGAATAATGAACAGGCTAGAATTTCACCAAGCACAGCATACCAATGCAATGAATGCACACATGGTGACTCAACTGTGCATAGACCATAGTGCAGGTCCTCCCTCATTTTAACAAGTCCGGTTAGTGCATAAACCCCGTTAGTAAATAGAAATCTGAAATTCCCTGGCGAAACGTGGTCTATACAACTGTTTACGGGTCCGGTTACAACATAATTCGCTACAACATAAAGTTCGTTATAACGGCCCTTTGCCCAGGTCCCTGGAGTGCCAAACCCTCAGTATAAGATACTGTATAAGCAGAAAAATTCGTCTGGAATTTAATTTCGTCTTTTTCGTCCAAGAAGCTTTTGGACTAAATTAAATGTAGGACGAATATCGGTTTGTCCAGCTTTTCTATACACTCTTATGATCCATGGACGAAATTTTCAACCGGACGAACTCCTTTTCTTTGGAGTTGGACGAAATTATTGACCGACGAAATTTTCTGCCTCTACAGTAATACCAAGAGTACACCCCCCCCCCCCCCCCCCCCCCCCAAGAGGGTGCAACGCCTGATCCAGCTCTGCATAGGGTCTTGGTCAAGCGTAATCGGATCTTTGCGTCATAATACCGTAGAGTAGAACCCGGGTTAGGGATCCACCTAACTCTGCGCGGACATAGCTGGACTCAGTTGTACAGGGATGGGCAAAAAGGTGTGCAAAACGACTTTTTGTGAGTAGATGGACCCGAAAAAATAGTTTGGAGCGAAACAAATTACGACTTCCTCGTAAACCGACGGGGGACCCCCCCCTTGGGCCGGAAATTAAATCCCGGTGTAAGGATCACCCGCACAATGTACATGCCAAGTGACCCCCCGCGGCCCGGGCTCCGAAGGATCACCCGCACAATGTACGTGCCAAGTGCCCCCCCCCCCCCGGCTCCGATCCCTAGTCCGGTGTGACCCTTAACCCGGGTTCTACTCTACATATCTGAGGAGAACCCGGGGAGTCGCGGGTACTCTCGGATCAAAAACAACGGTGCCCTGCCTCGAGACCGGCCTTGCGCCGGTGTGGAGTGTACATAAACTACCCATTACATCAGAAGATCCAATTACGCTCGACCAAGACCCTATGCAGAGCTGGATCAGGCGTTGCACACTCTGGGGGGGGTTATGTACTCTTGATAATATTGACCATGCGCAACCAAGGCCAAAACACATAGGATAAAGCAGAAAGACACAATGGGCGCTTACGATTACACGTTTACACAATTCTGGAACTGGGTTTTGTAATTCTCGAATGACCAAAATGTACGAATTCCGGCCATGTAAACGAACGACTGGAATTCACAACGCATTTTATTCATGACATATCACAAACAAAATTGGTCGTAAAAAGATATCACGTACACCCTCGCGCGCGCGCGTCAACCCAGCTTCGCGTACCGGTCCATCCCAGCGAAGGCTCCATGTCGGCAACAATATTGGGATTCGATAAAGCTGAACGAGTGTGTGAAAGGACCACCCAAAATGATCTGGTCTAATTGTCAGCTCCCAGCCGAAACTCAACAGCGGCAATTAGCTTTTCGGGAAGACAAAATTAGCAACTACATGCAGTTGTAACCCTGCTTTCGCGCCGCACCGGCCAGGGAGGCTCTTCCTTGACTTGAGTCATGCATGACCAGACCGGTAACACACCGAGTGTGTAATTCTGGCGCCAGAATTAGAGAAATTCCGCCCTCTCTTCAGAATTGACGGATTTGACGGAATTGGATAAAATCAATTCTAACGACGGAATTTGTCACTTTTTGTGTAATCGAACTGTGCATCAACAATAACTAATTCTAGAATTGACCGAAATGCGTGTAATTGAAAGCGCCCAATGTATTCTATCTATGTATTCGTGGATATGGACGATGTATTGCCTCCAAGGAACAGCTATGTTGGAGATTTCAATTATCTTGTAACGAGTTGAAGCGTAGAAAATTTATGTTGTATGTAGGATACGCAATATAAGCACAAGTCAGTGCTTCTTGTATCTTTTAAAAGTTGAAAGTCCTGTTACAAGATACATGTAAGTCTCGCTATAAGGCCGAGTAAAAAAAATTACTAGATGATCGTCCTTTTTTTTGGAAAAATCGGGGAGGCCGGGAGGATTTTATTTTTATTTTTTTACTTTTACCCTCTCATGCACACAGTGTACACAACAACATCAAGGTTTTTTTCTCTTTTTTTCTTTTTTTTTCTTTTTTTCTTTTTCTTTCTTCAGCAGATCGATACTGACGTTGTGATATACTAGTAGTATGTGGTCCATATAGTAAAGAAAGTATTAAACAAAGCGTGCACATGTTTCCTGCATCCGCGATCGGTAAAAAACCAACGATTTCGGCAAAAACTCACGATTTAAAAAATAAAATATTTCTTGGGGCGCTGACAAAAACTGGGGCGGACGGGGACGATCATCTAGCTTTTTTTTTTACTTGGCCTAAGATAACTTTTTTGATGGCCCAGAGATTATCTACTATTGAGAGAGGACCTGTACATTAAAATAAGAGCGGCCTAGGCTACGGGGCTGACCTCCCAGTTCTTCGGAACCCAACAGTACTGTATAGAAGAGAAGAGCCTTGACGTTTTGAAGAATGGCACCGCAGAAATCATTCTTCGAAGTTCGTTACCGCTACAGGGTTCTAGCCAAAGGGGGGTAGGGTGGCGCAGCGCCCCTACTCTGTTTGCACGCCCCCCTGTGAAAAATTGCCCCCCCCCCCCCTACTCATTTTCCGATTTTCGTGTTTTTCATGCATAGATGGTTCATAAAGGCACATTTGTCTTGGGGTGAAGTCAGGGATTCGCCCCATACATTGCATTTGGCGTGGCAAGACAATATTGGAAAGTGGAAAAATGGGATACAGGGTAACTGCCCACCCCCCCCCCCCCCCCCTACTATTTTGACCTGGCTAGAACCCTGCGCTACATGTGCCTTGTTTGTTAAATTGGTATTCAAACGAGTCGTTCATGGACTGAACTGCGGTTTGTTACGAGTGAAGTTGAAACCTTATGTGGCATGCAGCCGCAATTGCAGCCATGACCACCTGACCGCAAACGCGGCCCAAATCTGTGCTGTTACACGAGAGCATGCACAAATAAACCCTGCCCCAGTGGCAACTGGAACGGGCAGCGTCTAGCAAAACCCCTATCGTTTCACGTTTTTTGTCGCCTGTATCGTCTCCTTTCATGCGATGAGTGCTTGATGTAGATGAATTGTCGAAGCTGAGTTCCCACCTGACTTGTGCATTCATGAAATGATGCATTTCTCTGTGTAGCTTTTGCTGGGTGTTGGGGCATCATGGGTAGGGAAACGTACTGATGAAATGGAAAATCCAGCGTGGTGTGTTTTGCATCATCTTCCACTAGTGTTCCACTGCGTCAACAAGCACAGATTGTATTTTGATGCTGTTTGATTTGGATACGACTTGAATTGTTGTGTTGTGAACGCTTTGGAACAAGTATTCGAACCGTAAATGTATTGCAATGTAATTCTTTGTGCAGAGACCTGCAATAAGACAGATGGGTGCAGGATGCATGTCCATGTGTATAATGTTCAGAACTGCCTGCGGTGCGATGCGCGTCATCGACACCTGCAACGGGCTGCGGCCGCAACACACAATTCACAATCTTTTTTGGGTTCTGCGACGTCTAAATGCAATGCATGGCACATGCATGTGCACTGCACGTGCACCTAGTGGAGAGATTACTCCATTGACGTGGGTCGCGCTTCGCAAAAATTGAAATTTGGTCCGCTTCTACGGCAGTGGTCTTGTGACTACATGCAACACTACGCGAGAGGCATTTCCTTGTTGTAAGCTGAGCACCTCACATCGCAGAAAGTGGTATTTTGAATCATGCTGAGGCTCAAGTGGCCCTCCAAAGGAAACGGTGCACACAGTGTTTGGGTTGAGTGTATTTTATTACACCTGTAAGGAATTGATCGAGGAGCAATCCCGAAACGTTTTATTCGGCACTAGCAAATGTGCTAACATGATTGTGGACTTTGTCCAGTTTGCGGCTGCATGTGGGCCAGGGGCAGAGGACTGCTAGAAGCTGTCGGTGAATGTTACACTTGGCTGGTACAGACCGGTTGCACAATTTTGAAGTCTTTACCAAATGTGTACAGCCTGAAGAACGAAATGCGTGTTGCACTGGTTTAATATTTCTTATTTTCTTGTATCTGCCTGGCTTGGCGCCAAAAGCACTAGTACGCTTGAAGCCATTCAATTCATCCAGAGACCGTGGCCAAATGACTTGTATTCAGTCTAGTAACGTATGGGCAGTCTAAGGCATGCTGTAGGCTAATACTGCTGTTGTATTCTCTTCTTCTCCTTCTGTAGCAACGCCATGCCACTTTTTCTGGAAACTCCACAGCGGCTGCCAACAACTGCGGACCCCCAGTGCCGTGGCGGAAGGGCAGTACATCACGCTCTAGATCAGGTGATGCCAGTCCTCTGCCACCGATCCCCCCGTTGCTTGGCTCTGCAGCTGCTGTTGCTAACTCGCGTCCACCACTACCGGCATTACCGAACAAGGCGGACGGATCTCCTTCCTACAGCATACCGCCCATCGAGTATGAAACACACGCAAGCTTTGCAAGCCACCACAGCTCTGTTGACCTAGGTGTCGTTGGGCCCGGTGGAGACTATGCCATGCCGAACAAGCACAGGGACACTCCCTGCTCATCCAGTCTAAGCAGTGCCGACCACGGCACGTCGCCACGTTCTATGACTCTCCCAGCTTCATTGCCGAGGGAAGCGCTCAACTTTCCCAGCGCAGACACGAGCAGTGCTAACCAGCAGTACAGTACACCATCGATGCAATCCTCGTCCGGTTTCTCACCACCGAGCTCGCCAGAGCGAAGGCGGGCTCCTGGTAGTCCATTAGCATCCCGGTCTCCTTCTATCGGTATGACGCAGACTGAGATGCAGCTCAAGGCCATGGGCTTCAAAGAAAGCGATATCCAGAAGGCTGTTAAAATCGCCGGTGATGACTTGGCACTGGCGATGAGGATCCTAGAAAACTTCAAGTCTCACGAGAAGAAAACGCTTGAGCAACAGCTGCTGGAACTGGGCTATCTGGAAGCAGATGTGAAGAAGGCTATTCAAGTTGCTGGTGACAATCGCGACCTTGCTGTTATGATCCTTGAGCAATTTGCCGGCAACTGACCTTACCCTGACCCCTTTTTCCAGGTCCCTCCATCACCAATTTTTTTAAATCATTTAATACTATATTTCCTGATTAGCTTGCGTCTGTCTTTACCCATCCCCACATTTTCTCTGTACAACCAGTGGTTTCTACTGTGTCTCACCATGTGATCTGGTCAGACCAATCGTAACTTTCTAATATAAATCTGCTATCGTTTGTTTGCCTGGCTGTATGTTCTGTCCCTGTAGTCCGTGTGCTTCACCCGAGCCCCACTGATAGTTGTACTAATAGACTGCCTGGTCCTTGATTACACCGGAGCCATGTTGGGCGCGTTTTGCCCACACTGCTCGATCGACGCCACTCCACGTTCGGCTTTCACCTAGCGCCACCGCTGATTCTGTGATAGTGCTGTTGCGGGTTGGCATTTCGCGTCACATCAACGGTTCAATTTCTGGCTGTCAGGTCTGCCACTACTTGGCTCGGATATACTGCTCGTACTGGTACCTGGGCCGACTAACCCCCACCTGCATCTAAAGCCGCTGGCCGTGGATAGCAATCAATGAGTTCTCTCTTGCTTCATCATGGTTTGGTTATTTGGTTACCGGTCCATTGGAGCTAGTTTCTGGAAAGAGGGTTTCGGGAATCCCATGACCAAGTGTATATACGCTCCTTTACTCTTCAATCTTGGAAATACGCACCATGGATAGGCTCCATGGGATCCAAGTCATTATCTCATACAGTGTTTAGTACAGTCAGACCTCGCTTAAAATCGAACACACATGCATGCATGCCATATGCTGTAAATCGGTAACCAACGATTTTCTTCCAAATGGCAAGGGATCCGGATAAGCGAGGTCTGACTGTAGCTACAACAAAATCCGTTACTTCGTTGCAGTTCATCATGTCACGTCAGAGATGGTGACGTCAACAAATTACATTGTACTGATATTTTGGCAGTGAAAACTGAAAACGGTAATTGTAGCATACCGATACCACCAAGAGTCCATAAGTTATGGACTCTTGATACCACCATGTACCACTCGTATGTACAGTCCATTTCAAAAACATGTGTGACTGTACAATTAACAATGCCTCGCTAGCTGGTGTGGCAGGCGCTACCAAGTCCGCACTGCAGCTCGGGCATCACAGCAACAGCCGAAGGAGGGATTTGTGAGCGGTGAAGGTGCTGTACATGCATGCGGCTCAGCTTGAGCTTGCTTCTGAGCGTGGTAGCTCTGCTTGGCTGACGTCACGTCCTCTATCCTGCCATGGGCCATAGCTTTCATCTCTCTAAGTCTGAGTTTAGAGACGCTCTGTGTTTGCGCTATGGCTGGGTGCCGGAGCGTTTACCGTCATCCTGCGTTTGTGGCAACGCGCGCTTCGACGTCTCCCACGCGTTATCCTGCCCGACCGGTGGATTTCCGTCTTTAAGACACAATGAAATCCGTGACGTCACCGCCGACCTTATTCGCCAGGTGGCTCACTCGGTATCCGTGGAACCTCCACTGAAACCGCTCTCTGGTGAGCAGTTCAGCCTCCGATCTGCGTCCTTAGAGGACAATGCTCGCCTCAACATCGCTGCCAGTGGGCTATGGGGTGGCTGGTTCGAACGCACAATGTTTGATATACGGGTTTTCAACCCCTATGCTGCTTCGAATCGTGCTGCCTCAACCCCCGCTGTGTATGCCCGCCATGAACGCGAGAGGAGGAGGAGATATGAGGAGAGGACTCGGGCAGTCGAGAGGGCCTCCTTCGTGCCTGTCGTCATGTCGGCTAGTGGTGGTGCTGGGAAAGCCGCCACAGTTTTGTACCGAAGCGCTTGGCTGCTCTTATCTCTGAAAAGAGAAACGACCAGTATTCTGCCACCATAGCGTGGATTCGCACTCGGCTGTGCTTTGCGCTGGTGAGGTCGAGCATCATGTGTTTGCGTGGTGCCAGATCGTCCAAGTCCCGCTACCTCCAGCGAGATCCGGTTGCGGTTGTCGTTGCGGAGGCATCTGACTAGCTTAAAAAAAACACACACACACACCGACACATTTAAAAAGTTGCTTGGACTGAATTTCACTTGTTTTATTAGTGTATTATAGTTACTGCGCAGTACTGTGCATGCTCGCTACATAATCATACTCAGTTTGAAGTAATAACTTTTAAAACAATGTACAATGTGTAAACACGGCATGATAATTTGTGCTACATGTACGAGCAAGAGTCCATGTTTATGCAAGCTTGGTACGAGTAGTCGAAGTAGTTTACCATGCACTCGCTTTGGCACATGTGCACAGGGATATTCATCGCTCACTGAGCTTGCGCTTCCTGCATAACTGATCGATCCTCTTCCGTACCATTTTGCTCGAATTCCATACTACGACTCGGAGTACTGCAGTCTGCATGCGCGTGCGGACGATCGAATTCGCGAAGCCTTCGCGAATTCGACGAAGCTTCGATCGATCGAAGGAGTGATTTTCCGTACAAATACGGAAAAATACTTCGCTGTTTTGCGGAAATAATTAATTGCGGCAATTATTTCTTTGCGGAACACCATGCATATATGCACAAGTACAAGAACGTGGCACGCACGTGGATCTAAAAAAAAAGTATGGGCGCCGGGCTTGGACCTCGCGTAGATCTACGCATGCTACGTACAAGTAGACTACGTCGGAACCCGCCTAGCCTCGACATCTGTCTGGTTCGGCTGTGCTGGCGGCTGCTGAATGTGCCCTGGTGCCATAAACGGTGTACATGATACAGTACAGTTTCTTTGGTAATGGTGTTTCATTTACTTTTGTATTTTCAGCTCGTTTTCTTTGTATTTAACTCCTCAAGTTGTTTTGTTTTCTACCAGGCGTGGGCCATCCCCTGACTTCATAGGTGCCAAACATTAAATTTTTACGTTAAGTAGACTACGTAGACATATTGTACACAGAAAAAGTCGAAAAAAGCGGCGTCGTCATCTTCATTTTGTACATGTACGTCACTTACACGAAATATGGACGTCATAGTTCCGCACGTGACTCGTCATAGGAACATCTCAACACATGCGTACTGTATTTGGAAATGGCGTCAGACGTTGACGGGCCACGTAGCTTCTCTCAAAATGTTGACTTGACTGCAAGTGCAAAAGGCTAAACTCAGTAACCCGAGCAATCATTGTCCTCAGCTAGCTGTCATTACGAAGTGCTTCTTCTTCAAACTATTTTCTTTAGGTTTTTAGTCTATGAAGTAGATTCGCGCGGGGAACAGCCATGGGTGGTGAGTTTATCCTGTATCCAAGTGGTATCTTGTGAAGTAGTGGTGATATTGGAATATGTGCCGTGTTGGGCTGTTGGTGCAGTTCGGTTCCTTGATTACCTGACACCTTTCGTGTCAATACTGCCCGAAATATCTAAGCCAGAGCGGAAGGTGAGCTTGTAGACTGGCCCGTTGTTTGCAATGGATTGCATAGGCACAGTACTCTGACATATCTACAAGGAGTGAGAAGTAGTTACTCTCCTTTCCACCCCATACAGTAGGAATAATTGTGATTGTGTGCTGTGGCAACCAAGTACAGAACTTATACCAATTGTTCATCGCACTTTGACTTGTCTTTTGAACTCGCGTACTTGTACACCTCCGTTCTTCACAAGGATTTTATTCACTTGGATCATAGCTTGTTTCACGGTCATTATGTCCTTGGTATTGTGCAGATTGCGTTCAAGGAAAAGGTGCTATGGACTGCCATCACCTTGTTCATCTTCTTGGTTTGCTGCCAGGTAAGGCTGCAGTAAACTGTAATGCAGTTGCCAACTGCCATTGTCCAATCGGCATGTATAATTATTTATAGTGATGTGACTGGAGCATCGACTGAACGTATCACTTTGCTATCCAATTTTCAGCTACACCTTTACTAACAGTCCGAAATACCATTGAAGCATTTTGTTCAGTCTTGCCATAAATCATAATTCCTTCTCAAGAGAGTACGGTCATGTACATGTACCTGTGCTGGAAAGGAATGTTAATTTTTTTCATTTTCTTAGCTCCTGGTTTCCTTGGAGCAGAACAAAGCCTATGGCATGTTCACCAACTTCTTGAGGATGCTTTTCAATCTGCTGGGAATGGAGCTTCAGTATGATAGCATGTGTGTAAAGAAGCAGTTGATGGTGTGTGTGTCCAGTCGTTGTTCGCAGTACACAATGTATATGCATGGTTTTCCCCATTCTTTGAGGAAACAAAGTTTGGGATGTACAAAATGCAGCTCCTTCCACGTAAAAATATACACTGTTGGTGGTTGAATGTTGAAGGTATCTCAGTTGAATGCATTCCGTCTTCCATTGCTACTTGTGCTTGCAGGTGCCTTTATTTGGTATTATGTCTAGTGACTCGGCCGATCCACTGTACTGGATCAGAGTAATTATTGCATCCAACAGAGGTAAGTTGCATGCTCACTGGCATGCTTTTCTATACTAGATGTCTCCACCGCCTTGCTTTGGGCCTGTAAGCATAATTATGGACAGCTCGTGCTGTTCTGATGTATGCCTGAAGTTGCCTAGTCTGTGCTGTGCAGTGTATGTGCAACGCCATGGCCTCTTGCTCAGTGCCCCATGCACATGTCTGCAGTATCCTATGTCGGTGCACTGACACATGTGTGCTGATAGTGACTGTGATAATATATTATTATCTAACAGACCTTTTTCTTCTATCATTTTTTGCTACCCATAGGGACGCTTATGGAGCTGGGTATTTCTCCTATCGTCACATCTGGTCTTATTATGCAGGTAAGGATATCACTCGCACTTGAAGTAAGAAAAGAACATACTTCAGACTCATGGCAAGCAACAACAATGTTCATGTCTATTATCAATGCCTTCTCATTGGGTGGAATACAGGCAACATAATTTGAACAAGAACAACAAATTGGATGCTGCATAGACGTAGTGAACAGGAAAACAAACAGAACCCAGGAACAACAATGGTGAAATGTGTGGCCGCATACACGTATAGAAGGAATGAGAAAAGGGTGCAAGTGTGGAGAAACCTAACACGTGTACAGTGTCTTGATATCACTGTTCAGGACATCGAGCGTGGTTCTTTGACAGATGGGAGTTCTGTTGTGCTTGCGTCACCGTAGACCACAGATGAGCCATAACATTTCCATTAGCCGACAGTGGCATCTTTCTATGGACCCTGTACAGTATAACACAAATGCCATGTACTTACATGGTTCCTTTTGTTCTGCTCTACTCAGCTCCTGGCTGGTGCCAAATTGCTCGAAGTGGGGGATTCTCCCAAGGACAGGGCTATTTTCAATGGTGCTCAAAAATGTAAGTACACAGGCACCCAGGTTCTGAAAGCCAACTTATTCCCGTAGCTATGCAGAAGACGTTACTTCAGTAACGTCTGGCGCTAGCCAGGGTCCACACAGCTTTAATTCCCGTAGCTATGCAGAAGACGTTACTTCAGTAACGTCTGGCGCTAGCCAGGGTCCACACAGCTTTAATTTGGTGTTTGTTTGTTTGTTTGTTTGTTTGTGTCACGGCTGGAGCTATCCCGTATCTGTCCCGTATCTGTCCAGTATCTGTGACTACAAAGGCTCTACAGGATTGTACATAACAGCTGTCCACAATATTTGCGGGCTCCTGTATCTGTCCCGTACCGTACCAATATTCGTCGTATTCTGTATACGACTCCCTGATGTAGAGGGAGATTTGGAAAGAAATAGGGAGACGAGGAGGAAATTAAATTAGAATAGACGCCGAATAGGTGATAGGATGCGTCAGCATAAACATACTTTGGAAGAGAGATCCCGTCGTCTCCAAAATAAGCGTGAACGAGCGATTCAGCGCCCGTCACAGGAAACGTCGGAAGAGAGATCCCGTCGACTCCAGAACGCCCGTGATCGGCAGAGTCCGCCGGTCCCAGGCAACATCAGGACAGACATCTCGTTGAGTCCAGAACGCCCGTGATCGGCAGAGTCTAAGCCGGTCCCAGGAAACGTCAGGACAGACATCCTGTCCAGTCCAGAACGCCCATGATCGGCAGAGTCAGCGCCGGTCCCAGTAAACGTCAGGACAGACATCCCGTCGACGCGCAGAAAAACTAAATCTGCAGCCTCCTTTGGCGTCGGACAGGATACGTATTTAAGGAGACTGTAAAGTTATGTAGTGTCCAAATTTCGACGTGAGCAGCAGGTCACTCGCGTTGATTTTTCGACGTGCGAGCCAAATAACGCGAGCTGGTTTTTCGCGTCGCAATCATCCCGTCGACGCGCAGAAAAACTAAATCTGCAGCCTCTTTTGCTGTCGGACAGGATACGTATTTTAGGAGACTGTAAAATTATGTAATGTGCTCCACAGGCAACCATGCATTCGGCGGCGTCATTGGCTCAACAGGTCAATGTACATGTATTACTACAAAAAGGCCAGAAAATCCGATTACTGTATTAACCCTCTCAGTGCCACGGGCGACTTTAGTCGCCCAAAATGAGTATGTGTGTACAAATAAATTCGTATCTCCACTTCTACACACAGGAGAGTTACAAACGACCACTCTACGTGTTCAGGAAGACCTTGGCTATCGACTCGTCACATCGTTTTGTGTCCGTGAGGATAGATATCGCCAGGGCGAAGCTTGAAGCGCGCGCTCGGACAAACAATTGTCGCCCGTAGAAAACATGACGTATGCGCATCGCGGGTTTCTCTATTTCTTTCGCGGCAACCCATGCGTATTGGGTATCAAAACATCGAGATTTTCAGCGGCTTTCAGGCTAACTTTGTCCGAATTCCGTGCGTTGAAAGTTGACTGCACTGCGATCGATCGCGCGCGTTTGAAAGTACAGATGCTACGAAAATGCAGAAAACGGACTTCAGGCGCCCTCACGAGGAAGACTATTTTCGCTGCATTTTCTCTTCACGGCTGTCTGCCTGGCCATGATATCTTTCCAGAGAGCCATCGTTTGTAAAGATCCGTGGATATACAGCTGAGCTATGAAAAATTTGAGTTCAGCTCAACTCAGAAAAATTTGAATTTTTCTGACCCCCTTGGCACTGAAAGGGTTAAAATCAACTCATTTTCGCTGGCGATTTAATTTCGCTGATTTCGCCGCTTGGTACCAACCGGCCAGAGTAAATCGCAGGCCAAAGTTTGTCATAATTATGGGCAAATGATGCATGATTGAGCAATGGATGCATGTGAGAGCAAAAATACCGATCGATTTCAAATTTGACGTGAAATGTGGAAACGTTTTTGCAATACAGTGATGTGGCCAATCAACGGAAAAAGACATTTCCATCAGTTCTTAAAGCATGTACGATGAGCTAGGCAAAAAAGCATAAAAGCATAGCGTAGGGCCCTGAGCTTCCAAGCTCTCTCGTTTGGTGTTTGTTTGTTTGTTTGTTTGTTTGTTTGTGTCACGCCTGGCGCTATCCCGTATCTGTCCCGTACTGTACCGTACCAGCAAAGACAGCTGGCCACAATATTTTTGTTTGTTTGTGCCATCGACATGCCTGGCGCTATCCCGTACCTGTCCCGTACCATCAAGAGTACGGTACCATCAAGAGAATGAGTATATATGCGAAGTGTATCGGGGGAATGCATTCAGTGCAGTAACATTTTGTGTGGATTTGTGTGCGAGGCCGAGATCCCACTAGCAGGCTGGCTGGGCCGCCTGTCGACCAGCCCGGGAATCGCATGTAGGCGGATAGCATAACGTTTATACCAGGAAGTCGTAAAATACCTGGTATTTTACGACTCCCTGGTTTATACAGTCATGTAGATGTATAGCAGGGAGTCATATTATGTAAACGACTCCCTGCTGTATGGGGAGATTTTCTGGAAAGAAATACGAAGTAGGGAGACGAGTAAATGCAATCAGAATGGATGTTAGTTGCCGTCAGTATAATAATAATAAGAAGAAGATAAACGCCCGTGATCGGCAGAGTCAGCGCTGGTCCCAGGAAACGTCAGGACAGACATCCCGTCGACTCCAGAACGCCCGTGATCGGCAGAGTCAGCGCCGGTCCCATAGCTATGCAGAAGACGTTACTTCAGTATCTCATTGAAACGTTTTTGCAATACAATGATGTAGCTTATCAAAGGAAAAAGCATTTCCATCAGTTCTAACAACATGCACGCGGAGCTAGGCAACAAAGCATAGCGCAGGGCCCTGAGCTTCCAAGCTCTCTCGTTTGGAAACCAAATGCGTTTTGGGCTAACCGCCACAATCAATGATGAAGACCTTGATTTCCGTGATTCCGACTACTGTCTCTAGAGTGGAATTTGTGTGTTGTTAATATGTATTCTCCTACCATTTTCACGGGGCTTCATGTACTGCTGCGCTCAGCATGTTTCTTGTGTAAGCAATATGTTGGATGTTCTGCCTTCTATTCTGTTCTCGTGCTTTCGCAGTATTTGGTATGATTATTACCCTCGGACAAGCCACAGTTTATGTAATGACAGGCATGTATGGTGACCCAGCAGACCTCGGTGCAGGTATCTGTGTTCTAATCGTCATCCAGCTGTTCTGCTCCGGTCTAATTGTCCTCCTCCTTGACGAGCTGTTGCAGAAGGGCTATGGTCTGGGCTCTGGTATCTCTCTCTTCATTGCCACTAACATCTGTGAGACTATTGTGTGGAAGGCATTCAGCCCCACCACTATCAACACTGGACGAGGTAAGAACCCGGGGAGGGAGGGAGGGGGGTTGGGGGCATGCAACTGTATGGCTGCGTTTAGTTTCGCTATTCTTGCTTGCTCTGTGCTCAGCTTTAAAAGTTAATGCTGTCAATTACACTTCAGTGCTGTTGACTGTTGCATCTTGTTTATTGTCTTGTGGCCTTTGTTTTGATATTTGAGAGTTCCAGTGGTTGACTGTAGTTGGACACACAACATGTTGACCCTTTTTTTGTTGCAGGTAATTACTCGTGATCTGGTTCTTGTTTTGTTTCCTTTTAGGAACTGAATTCGAAGGTGCCGTCATTGCTCTCTTCCATTTGTTGGCAACACGCTCCGACAAAGTGCGCGCTCTGCGCGAAGCTTTCTACCGCCAGAACCTGCCCAACCTGATGAGCTTGTTTTCCACAATCTTTGTCTTCGGCATTGTGATCTACTTCCAGGTTAGTGGTAATAATTTCATTGAATTAATGCTGCGTATGTTCTAGTTGAGAGTTCTGTTGAGCTAATCTCTCCTTGTGAACTTGCTATCAAACAAGCCTGATGTTGAACTTTGCGCTTCATGTTCTGTGATAGGGTTTCCGTGTGGACCTTCCCATCAAGTCGGCCCGCTACCGTGGTCAGTACTCTAGCTACCCAATCAAGCTGTTCTACACCTCCAATATTCCCATCATCCTGCAAAGTGCTCTGGTCAGCAACCTGTACGTCATCTCACAGATGCTGTCCACTCGCTTCGCTGGTAATATCATAGTCAGCATTCTAGGCACGTGGTCAACAGCCGATGGCTCTGCACGCTCGTTCCCAACGTCAGGTCTCTGCTACTATCTTTCACCACCCGAGACGATTAGTCACATCATCGAAGATCCTGTGCACGCTGTTCTCTACATCGCCTTCATGTTGGGCTCTTGTGCATACTTCTCCAAAACATGGATCGATGTGTCCGGCTCCTCGGCTAAGGATGTGAGTTTCTTTCACAGATTTATTTTTGCTAAATAAGAGTTGTGAGGCTTTCTGCTGCTTCAAATAAGGAAAAGTGGTTAGAGCCGATCTGCTCTTTACCAGGTACCACCATCCGAATCGTTTCTGTCATACTGTCAGTTTTCTGCAACGTTTCGGCTAATTTGCCAAAATAAATGATGGAAACGAATTGGATAATTTCAGTGTGACTGGTAATGGAGCAAGTCTGTCTGCTCTTGACAACTTCCCATTTTTTTGCTGTAATTGTTAGTGGTCGGGTGGCGTAGTAATTACCGGTACCTCTAATTTCAGTGTACATGTTGCCAAAAGAACTTTGGTCAGAGGTGACCATCACTGCTCTACTTCCTTGATGTTCACTTTGTGACCCTTGATTTAATCGATGTGTGCTCGTGGTTGTGTGTGTGTGTGTGTGTGTGTGTGTCCTCTAGGTTGCAAAGCAACTCAAGGACCAGCAGATGGTTATGCGTGGACACCGTGAGAAGTCAATGGTTCATGAACTGAACAGGTAAATTCTCTCGTGGTTTCGTAACAAATGCCTTTCTAATGTTGTCACCAGGATTATGCAACTGAAATAATGGGTCAATGCGCGGCACCCTGCTTTCATTTTGTAGCTTCCTTGCATCTCGTCTTGTACTGAAGCCCTAACGCCCACAACCGTTTTACTTGACATGTTTGAGTACCGCCATGGCCTCTGAATTTTTCAAACCACGCCATGTATAGTGTAGCGGATGTAGCTGCATGATGACATTGTAACAAAGTCAGTGTGCCATCACCTGGCTCATGGGAAAGATACACAATTGCATATCCTTGGTTTTGGTCTCTGGCTATGATCTATGCGTGTCCGCATTCAGTACTACATGAAAAAGTACTCACCCTATGAAATCATCTCGTGCATCTCGTACCCCGACCAAAGGTCAAGAACCAGGAGTCGTACAGACCCTTCAAAACTCAGGGTTTGTGCGATCCCTGGTCAAGAGGGTGAGCACTGTTGCGTACATTTCCAATGGGGTTGAGCACGCATCTGCAGTACACGGCTTCACAGAGTCATATGAGGATACAATCAATCACTTCCCTGACAAAAAGTCAGGGAGGGGCGGATGGGAGAGGCTCTGGCGGGATTTTACGGCAGTGGTATTTTCAGAATGTTACTGTGCTGCTTTGTTGTGCCTGTGGAAATGAATATGTTGGAATGCGGAAGAGGAAATGACAGATAATATTGCCTTTGACCCATTTGTAGACAACAGCTGCTTTTGAACTCATTCGAGTCGTTTTTGTTTCGTTTTATCCTTTCCGTGTTTGTAGGTATATTCCAACCGCTGCCGCATTCGGTGGACTCTGCATTGGTGCTTTGTCCGTACTCGCTGATTTCCTTGGTAAGTTTTTTATGCTGACCCTTCTTCCTGTTATGTTGCCAGCTGTCCTGTCTGGGGTTTGTAGGTGTTTGTTTGCTGCATGAGATCATTGGAAATAATAGAGAGGTTCCGGAGTGCGAATTTTCGTGCCAAAATCTGTGGAGGCGCTACGGATTTTTTATACGTCGTTTTCGAGCAGTGAAATGTTCCGGAGTACGGAACTTATGTGTTTGCCGTCATTGCCTAGGTTACGATCGCAAACACGTCACATTCCCGCGTTATGCCTTTTTATTTTAAAAATTTGTACCGAAATCAAAACTTCCCGTGGAAAATCGATGTTTCTCGTACCAAATTTGTACGCGAAAAATCTTTCTGCACCCAATGACGCAAAATCTCCATACGAAACATGGTTCGTATGAAAGCCAGTCCACACAGATTCTCCGTGCCGAAAAATCGTATGGAGCACGCCTGGAAAAAATCTGTAGCGCCCATAGTTTGGCACGGAAAATCGTACCCCGGAACCTCTCTAATTAAAGACCACTGGTTTGAACAATACCGCCTGGTGCCTGTCTGAAGTAAACTTGTCAGCACTTCTGCTGTTCTTGGTTCTTGAACATTTTATAGTGATGTAAATGCTAGGCTGTCTAAATTTGTCAATGTTTAGTCAAGTTGGAAAGCACTGTTCAATATCACTGTGTTTGTTGTGTTCGCTCTGACAATGCAGGTGCAATTGGATCTGGAACTGGTATTCTGCTGGCTGTGACCATCATCTACCAATACTTTGAAATCTTCGTCAAGGAACAACAGGAACTTGGTGGCATGGGCACGCTTCTCTTCTAGTCATTTTTCTGTTGACCATTTTTCATTTTTTTCAAGCAAAGAAAACTTTATTAGATCAATACTCCCATACCAGAACATAATACGTACATGACCACTGCTGTACACAAATATTATTCTTGCTATCTGTGAATGCATTTAGAATCTGCTGTGCTGTGCAGGGAACCATTGATCTTGTCGTTATCTTGGCAATAAGCCCAAGGCGACGGGAATGAGCTATTTGATAAAGGGGTAGTAAAGTCTTGTACTATCATTTGTAGACTTGTTGCATGTTATCTTGATGGCTCTTTTTTCATACCATTGAGAAGTATTTTGTCCGGGGTTAATGAATAGCTATGTCATGATGTACATGTGGCACCTGGCGTTTGTACAAACGTCGGAAACCATGCCTGCAATGATTATTGCGTCATGAAAATGATGTCTACTGTCAGAACAGCCGTGCATGCAAGCGAGAGGTGCAGGGAGTAGTAAAATACTTTACTACTCCCTGCTTTGTATACTTGTGGAAATTTTAATACAGACAATACCAGGGAGTCGTTAAATACCGGTATTTTATGACTCCCTGGACAGTACAGTTGAATCATGTCATTTTATCCAGCATTCAGGTATTGGACATGTAAATGATGTTGAAAATCTAGGGAAGGAGGTACACAAAATAGTCAAAAGGAAGTGAATAGGGCTCTTTTTTGTTGTAACTCAGAGTTTCATGGCAAAAACCAATAATCAGACAACACAACATTGGTTTTTGCCATGAAACTCTGAGTTACAACAAAAAAAAAAACAGCCCTATCCACTTCCTTTTGTGTACCTCTTGCGTACTACGCACTATTGCAGGTTAAGGTGCACAGCCTCTAGCTCTGTGTAGGGAAGGATTCATTACACACTAGCAACATTTTGGGATTAAAAAATCAGATTTTCACCAGTCCCTATCTAGTAGGGTGCTGTCACCCAGTTTCGGTGGAAGTGCGCGAGTTCGATTGGGAATAAAGGAAGAAGGGAGCGTCTCAGCTTCCTCGGACCAAGACCATTCGACTCAGCACCCGAAGACCACAACTGGTGAAAATTTGATTCTAGGTTATACATGTACCATGCCATGGCATTATGTCCCTTCAATGCGACGGCCCCATGATAAGCGGTCAGCCTTTGGGTCATCCTATTAAATAAAGTTATTATTTATAATACCGTAATTCCGCGCATATAAGCCCATATCCGGATATAAGCCCACCTCCGTTTATAAGCCCGTGGGCTAATAAACAGACACAAATGCAACTTATGTGTCAAGTAGAAATTTTCACAAAATGGACTCTTCCTACCATGGTACAGCAGGTCAGTGCAATTTACCAGTAGAGTATGGTAGACTGACCATGAGCACGGACTTGTACTGTTTTGTGAACCTTCAAAATTCGAATATTGGCCCATGGGCTAAAAAACGAACGTGTTTTACTGGATATTTTATCCCCAAACTGCATTGTTTCACATATAAGCCCATGGGCTTATATGCACGGAATTACGGTAATTATATATTTGAAACACCACTACTTTCCTTTTTACTACAATTTACACAAAAGCCTGATTTACATACATGTACATGCACATTGTACAAGCCTGCAAAATGCAAAATGCTGATAGACACCAGGGAGTAGTACAATACCATAATAATAATAATTATTATAATAAGTAGTACAGTACATATAATAATATTATTATTATATGTACTGTACTACTCCCTAGGCCCTGGATAGAACCATGCACTGCAGACCAAAAAGCCCTACACAAATGTTTAGGGCTCCCGGCTACAGACATACTCTGTATAGTCCTTTTTCTGTCCCTCCAGGATTCCGCGGCCGCGATAAAATCCGCGGAATTCATGTTTTTTTTAATATCCCGCGGAATTCACAGTTTTCACCGCAGAATCGTGAAAAATCACGGTTTGGGGGCAATGCGAGCACACGCTTCATATTCATGCACATGTACAGTGCAGTGTCCTGTCGCTATTTTGTTGCACTCAAAGTCGAGGGAGTTTTCTTCGTTACTGAGCCTATCGTGTGTTTTCGACCACTAAATTTTTTATTGATACTTGTACATAGCATATAGCCATGTCTTTTCGCCGGTGCGGCGCTGCAGAAATACCGCAGTATTGCCGCAGAATTCACGCTATCCGCCGCATAATGTAGCGATTTGTGCCGCAGAATTTCAACTTTCTGTCCGCGGATTCCTGGAGGGACAGCTTTTTCATGTGTGAATACAAGATGGCTCGTTGATGCATCTTCACTTTTCTTCAGTTATCCAGGACATTCATATTATTCAACAACGCCCGGTTCTGAGGGTGGCGAAAAATTGACAGTGACACACAACTGCAGTCATGTACTTTATAAATAAGGCCACACGTTTTTATATCAATGTTTCTCGTCACCCGCGCGCATACGATTCAGGAGTCTGGAGGAAAAAAGAAAAAAAAAAGTGCTGCACTGACTGTGCATGTGGGGACCAGCACACTTATGCACATGTACATAATGTGGCCTGGCCTACGCGACACATGATGCGAGGTCACCAATTGTTGTGCGCAATCTAGCTGCACATGCACAGATTGTGACAGAAGCTCCTACCACATACTAGTTGCAAACTGTGCATGGTGTATTGCATGGTGTATTGGTGGATTTTAGTGTGAACAAAGGTCTAATAAGCTTTTTTTTATTTTTCGGTCATTTTTTATTTTTTTCCACCTCTCGCATACGTTTTTAGATTTTCAGGTGACGAGAAACATAGAAATAAAAACGTGTGGCCTAATAATATGAAAAAAGTGTACTACAGGAAACCTATGACTACGTTACGAACTCACGACAAGCAGGGAGTCATAAAATACGGTATTTTACGACTCCCTGATGACAAGACATGCACGTCACCAGAACTACGTAGTCAACAGAGTGTGCGACATGTCGACAGTACATGAGCCAACACAAGCATGCAAGAGACACGTTCTGAAGCGATACACTGCAGGCACTAGGTATGTATGGTAGTCTTTATTTTACTGTTCGCTTAGCAAAGGAAAATGAAGAATACCATACCGGGCACATACCTGCAGACAGCAGTGTATCGCTACAGAACAGCCCACGAGTACGTGATAGGTCAGCATACGGTGGTGGTCACACAGGTTTAATCAAGAGTACACAACCGTAACCCCCAAGAGTGTGCAACTCCGACAGAATGTCAAGTTGACGTAATTTTTTGATGCATTGCACACTTATTATCAGAAGTATCCTGGACCTGTGGTTGATAAATTTTATCCAGTACAAATTAGTTCAAGGAAGCACGTGTGATGCGTAGACACCTCATACAAACATCGTAAATCAATCATGTGAGGATCATTGACGTCAACTAGAAATTCTGTCGGGACAGCAGGGTATGCGGGAGTTGCACTCTTGGATTCATGGCAGGACAGTCATATGTGGCCCCAATTGTTTACTACGTTGCACTGTCTGTACATTGTGACAGAATATGTGACCTGTCAACCTCATGCAAGCATGAATTCTGTTTGTTGAAGCACAATTCACAATACCCCTTTTGCGATGCACGGCATGCCACACCTACGGGCACGAAACACGATTCTTCGGTTCTATAGCACCTAAATGCAGTGCATAGTGGGCGCATGTGCAACTAGCCTGGCAAACTGCACGTAACGTTACTTGATGCACGTCCCAAGTTGCAAGGGGCAACATACTCCAAGTTACTTGTACGACAGCGGCCTTGCGATAGCCATTTTCCTGTCACAAGTGTCGCACCTCATAAAGCGATATCGTGAGTCATGCTTAATCCTCTCCACATTGATATTTCATCACTGACCTAGACTTTCATTGGAGTGCGAAATTTATCTTGTTGAACCTCCTTAATACCACGGGCACAGGTCAATGAACGGCTGTTCTGATAATTCATACACGTAAATATTCTCCTTAAATCAATCTATGCTATATTATGTGGCTGAAATAAATAATATTGATAAACTCGAGAATGACATAGCTCAGATCTTGAATGGGAAGGTGCCTGACTGGACTTGATCTTCGAATGAATCAACCTGTACAAACCATGAGAGAAGCAAATCACAACAGAAAGCAGAAGTCTGACTACACTGTAGGAGGGGGGCAGACGGTGCAAAGACACAAAGAGATCGGGACAGATAGCCATGCCTTTTGCCAGGCCTGTAGTAGTAGCAACAGTACGTAACATAACCCTCCAGAGTGTGCAACGCCTGGTCCAGCTCTGCATAAGGTCTTGTTCGAGGCAAATTTAACGTTGTCATAAACTGGACTGGTTCACGATGAGAACCTTTTGCGACTCCATATCTTCAGTTGGATCTTGTACTGTCTACAATCAAAGTACGGAGAGGTTTGCGGCGATTTATATACACGAATGTGTGATGGTCGCGAAAATAGCAAAATTTAATCTCTAGCGTAAGTTTCTCACTTTACAGTATTCCCTTCACACACAGTGCATACCGTATTTTCTCCAATAAAAGCCCATGTCTCCAATAATAGCCCAGTCTCCAATAATGACCCGGGGTGAGGGTGGCTTGAAATAATAAGAGCACAGTCTCTAATAGTAGCGCGGGTCACAATTGGAGTATGCAACAAGTATATTTATTATTGACTGCATATAAAACAGCAGTACAACATACCAAGAACATTATTTTTAAGGAGGTTTTCGGTCTACTGCTTCCTTCCTGGCACCAATGCTATTGTGAAACATATCCGTTTTGACAATATTCCTGAGTTTAGGGTTGAAAAATCAGTCTTGATATGGTCAGTTTATGCCTGTATAGACTGGAGTTGGCTTGATAGTTGACAATTGAAAAATAAGAGCCCAGTCTCCAATAATAGCCCAGCCTCTAATAGTAGCGCGGGTAGAGCTGTCACTGAAAAAAATAAGAACCCCGGGCTCTTATTAGAGAAAATACGGTACTCAGTGACTTTTAGGTGTAATTAAAATTTAGGTGCCTGTTTTCTCTACTGAAATTAAATTACACCGCAAGCAGCGTGCTATACACTGATACAGTAGCTTTTGCACTGAAGTAATCCTGGATGCCGAGGAATGAAAAAGCTAGGCTTTCACCAAGTACAGTATGCTAGTACATGTATGCGTATGTGTGCGGTGACTCAGCTACACATAAACATTAGGCCGTTTATAGTGCATGAATAAAAGAGTGGTGTATAGGTTGGACCCACAAAACACATTCACCCCAAAGCAGTACAGTGAATTCATGTATACTTGAGAACACCAGTCGAAAAACGCACCACTATTAATTTTACAGTCGTGACTACACTGGCGATGTGCTGCTGTAACAAAGCTTGCTAGGTGCAGCGTGTGCATTTTCCGGTCGAAATTTTGTAATGTATTCAAGCCGACACAGAGTACCCCTGGACTATGAGTATGTTCAGCAAATCGTACACAATATCAGTTATAAGTTCTAACATTCTACTTACCCATGATTGTGGACACGTAAACTTGTACTCTGTTTCGTACCACTTGCAAGATTGATGTCCCTCGCCCAATTTCTTGGAGCAGCGGAGAAAGTCCAAATAGTTCTGGTGGCATTGGCCGGTCACGTTCTGCTGGGGGAATCGCCGGTCGAATGGAGGAGGACTCATTGGAAGTGCAGCCTGCAAGAACTTCACGGCCTTGGGATCCTGCTTCGAAGGCCGCTCTTCTTCGGGGAAAAGACCATGGTTCTCCGGCTTAGAGTAGTCGGGCTTCGTCTCAGCTGCAGTATTGGCGGCCATTGTGCCAGAAAATAATTGGATCCACCAGCACGTCCTATCTCCTTGAAAGCAGTTTTTGTTGCCAACAGGACATCATCTCCTGCTGAAAGTGCAAAAAAACCGCAGTCCCGGACTCGACTTTTCGACCATCACATGTGCACCGCCGACGCGTCTAGTCTGCGTCCCGGCCCGCGCTACCCTTCTTCCTCTCTAACTACGCTTGCGAGCTGAAGCTAGCGCGCACGAGAAGATGTAACTACCGTAAAGTACGCCAGAGCGCCCCACCATCTCGTCCTTTCGTGGTCGTCTTGTGGAGGTGGTTTCCTGTCTGTAGGTCATACGACACGGACCTTGTACACACACACTGCACGTTATGCAGTCAATCCGTACCCAGTTTACCTTTGAGCGGATGCGAGCTCCACATAAAAACATGCCCAGTACGTGACCTTAGTACAAAAAGGTTTTCACACAGTACAAACTTAGTAGCATTCGGCCATACGATTTTCTTCCCTTGGCTGTAAAATCAAGGTGGGGCGCTCTCGCGAGACGGGGCGCTCTGGCGGTACTTTACGGTAGTAGACTCTACTCGTACCATGTACCATGTGTACCAGTCCGTGCGCCAAGTAATTTAGTTCAAAAAAGTCGTTCAGGTCCAAATAAGGTTGCAAAATACCAACAAAACAATTGTGTCGTCGTCATCTTTTTGCACCTCGATTTTTCCCGCGGTTGCAAATAAAAAAACAGGCTACTCAACAGTTCAAGGGCTTGGCGCACGGACTGCTACTGCGACGCTCGTAGGTCTACGAATGCGCTTGCAGCATTCATATCAGGCGCTAACTACTGCACCAGCTTGGCGACACAACATACCGGTAGGCAGAGAATTCCACCGATCAGCGCCAAGGAAAGAAACAGAGAACATGCCATATCTAGTTTTAGCAGCAGGCAAAGAAATAGACGAGAAGGACTGTCCTCTAGTGCGCCTATCTGTACAAGTAGCAGCTGATGTCTCCCATGCATGGTCTACTACTCCCTGCAGCTGGTGAAAACTGCTTGTTGGGTCAATACTTCTGCTCTGACTTCTTTGGCTTCACACCTTCACTTGCGCTCCAGCCCAGGCAGTATTCTTGTCACCCACTGGCGCGGCACCTCGGCTTTAGCTAGCTCTTACTACTACCATGGTTACACTGCATGGTAACAGAGGATGCCAGGGTGGCCGTGGCCGGCGTGGGTTCTTTCTACTTTTTTGGCCTTGCACTTCGGCTTCCTCTTCGTTTCCGTGTTTTGTATTTCAAGCTGTCCAGAACCTGGAAACGTGATGGAGATTGCCACCTGCCTCGTCTCATTCCCAGTCAGTCCCAGTGGCTATTACATTCCGCTCAGGAAGTTGGGACGAGAACTCGGCAACCGTATGATGGCTCCGACTCAGATTGCAGAAGGTAGTTCTGGCCGGCAACAACATCCCGAGACCCTGCCCAATGCGCACAGGACCTGGCCAGGCAGGGGCAGAGCTCTACAATTGTAAACGTCACCTCAGGAAAGCAGGCTGCAGTACCGAAGAAGAGGTCTCCATGCACTAGCCTACTACTTGTAGTACTAGGTTGCAGTGCCACCTCGTAAGAGTAGAGATGCCGCCGACTCCAGACTGTCTGAGATGAAGTCAACACTAATGGCCGGTGACAAGGAGCAAGCTTTGAAAGGCAACAAGTAACTTACCAGCACCCTGGACCAGTACAAGGATTGTTTACCGGACAGACTAACTCAGTACCAGACGGACTACCACCAGAACGAGAGGCCAACGTCATTGATGTAAAACCTGAGCTAAGTTACTTGCTGCCAGGCTCCGTCATCACATCCAGCGGCCCGTCTACCGCTACAATAAGTGCAAGGTGGAAGAACTTATCTATCGGGATTACTACATCAAGCCCGGTAAGTCGCCATACCATGCCAGGGGGAATACAGAGCTCTACACACGTAAACTAATACACAGTCAAACCTCTTTAGAACGAACATCAAGGGACCAATGATATTTGTTCGCAATAACGGGAATTCTTCTTATCCATAATAATTATGTTTTACCCAGTGAATACACAGGGTTTTATCCAATACAGTTACAAATACTAGTTCTTCTTAGGCAAATATTCGTCTTATCAGTGTTCTTCCTAATGAGGTTCCACTGTACTTACTTCACCTCCAAATTTTCACCAGTTGTAGTCTCCGGGGTGCTGAGTCGAATGGTCTGGGTCCGAGGAAGCTGAGATGCTCCCTTCCTTCTTTTATTCCCAATCGAACTCTGGCACTTCCACCGCAACTGGGTGACTGCGCCCTACTAAATGGGGATTTATTATTATTATTACTGTATTAAATTTTGAATAGGGCAGTCCCACAGGCCTAGGGCCTTTTTATAGGGTACCCTATGAATTGTTGAATAGATGAACGGAAGTTTCTGAGCAAGGAGATTGTGCGAATATCAGCAGGAAGCACGTCAAGTTCCAACGATCAGAACCAAGAAAGCTAAGCCAGTATAAACCATAGCGGCGAGAAACTAAAGGAAGACTAAGTGACAAAGTGGACTGAGAGCGTGTACGGGCTGAGGTTTGTGAAGTGGCGGTGCGAGGGAGGAAGCAGGTCGAGAACAGTGGACTGCACAACTTATGGAGGGCTCGAAACACCAGTACAAACACGGGCAAAATTGATATCTAATGGAGATAGCAGCGAGATAGTTCCTAGCTAGAATAAGAGAAGCATCGTAGTACTTCGGGTAGCCAAAGACAATCCGAACAGCACGGTTAGAGATACGAGTAATGCGGTCCATTTGCGAGACTTGGAGGCTGTGCGCAAATGCATTAGAGCCGTATTCAAGTTGGGCCTGAATGAAGGAACAGTAAAAGACTCGTTTGGCAGCAGGTGTTAGATTTTCCTGAACACAGCATGTTTAGCGCCTATCTTGCGTTCCAGGAGCGTGATGTGATCTCGGTACGTAAGATGCTCGTCGAACAGGAGGCCAAGGTATTTGATCGTGGCTGAAGGCGGTATGCTAGTGCTGTCAATTGACAATTGGAGATTAGCTGGGTTGCGGATTGACAGAACATCTCCGGCCAAGTCTGCAGTGAGCTTCTGTGGATCCCTTCAGGATTTGTAGACAGAAACATCGTCAGCAAACTGACGGACCTTGGTACTAGCAACACACTCTGGCAGTTTGCGGACAGCAAGATTGAACAAGACGGGTCCAAGGATAGATCCTTGAGGTACACCTCTGGAGGTAGAATAACAGGCACCTCTGCTAGACTTGGTGGCAACTCTCTGCTGCCGGTCAGTAAGGTATGATGCGAACCAACGCAGTGCAACCCCTCCCACACCAATCTCGAACAGTTCTTGGAGGAGCAAACTGTGGTTGACAGTGTCGAAGGCTTTGGACATGTCGAGGAAAGCTGCAGCCACATACTCGTTCAGGTCTAGACTTTGACTCCAATCATTTGCCACCAGAGCGAGAAGATCGTCGCAGGAGTGATTTTTGCGGTACGCAAACTGAACTGCAGGGAGGGATTCCATGTGACTGGCGCTATCCATGTATTGTGTAAGTTGCTCTAGCGCACACCTCTCGAGAAGCTTGGACATGAGAGGAAGGAGGGAGATGGGTCTGTAGTTGCGAGGGTCGGAAGCTTCCCCACGTTTGTGGATCGGACGGAACGTGTGCCAGCTTGTAGGGCGTTGGGAATTCTCCAGTTTCGAGGGATAACGACAAGAGAGAGAGGCAAGCGTTGGTGCAATTTGATCAGGCACAAGTTTGTAAACGAGCGGGGGGATGGCGTCAGGACCGCTTCTTTACGACTGTCCATAGCACGGAGATGGAACTTAACGTCCCCTGCTGTGATTTGGGTAAAAGAAACTAGAGTGCCGTCTGACTGGGGGCCACACGGCAGACCAGGTAGAATGTTGGATGGTTGATCAGGCACGGATGCCAGCGTCAGGGCGTCAGAAGTCTCCGTTGGCGGCAAAGGTCCAACTATTTCTGAGAATACAGATGTAATGTCTGCAATACTAGCTCCAGGCTCACGGCTGACTTTCGTTCTGCCAAGTAGGCCGTTCATAGCGCTTCACTGATGTCTAGGGTTCCGTCTGTTATTGATAAACTCGGCCTGAAAGTAATTGGCTTTCTTACGGCGCATGGTGATTTTGCACTGTCGCCGAAGCGCTCGGAAAGACTGGATTCGTTGCTGGTCACCCGGCTGTTTCAGCAGGAGTCTATGAGCTCGTTTTCTGCGGTAGAGCAGTTTACGTAGCTCGTCGTCGACCCATGGTGCGTGCGGGTTTATACTTGGTGGAAAAGGTAACTATCTTCACGGGGCAATGGTGATCAAGTGCTTCGGTGATGGAGCCCTGAAAAAGTTCAATGTTTGCATTGAGGTCAGTTGGTTGGTTCTCGACGATTGACATCTTCGAAGTGATCTCTGCCTGGAATGCCTATGCGTTTATGGTTCTTATTGGAGGCTTCCGGGTTCTGACTGGTGGATTCTGCGGCGCAGAGTGCAATGTAGCCAACAGCTGTAAAACTACTAGTTGGTGATCGGAAGCGTCGCATGGCTCAACGGAACAGCCATGGTAGATGATGCTCTGTCTCCCTGAGGAATGGGAGATGCGTGCTGGTGGATGAATTGTACGGGGTAGTAAGATTAAGTCTAGCACCGTTTGGCTTGGAAATCTGGTTGGGGACGTAACTATGTTCTGTAAGTTGGTAGCGTGGCAGAAGCTTAGGAAGTGCCTGTACTGCTGGTGTTGGTGGTCTGCGATGTTGACGTTGAGGTCGCCTAGCACGACGGTATGAGCTTCTCTCGTGTGTGATTCGATGTCATCAACGGTGTTGAGCAACTCCTCCCAAAATGTGACGGGGGATGAAGGGGGTCTGTTCGTGCATACTATGTTCAGGGGATTGTGCGGCAATACTAACTGGATGGAAACGGCTTCGATATCTTGGAGGATATGTAATTGTCTGTGCTTAAGTTTGTCATTGATGTAGATACATACACCGCCTCCTGTCTTTAGCTTGCGGTCTCTTCTGTGTACTTCCTATCGAGGCAGTTTGATT